GTATCTGGTGTAATAATTGATAATTCTCAAGAATCAGTTATGAACAGGAAATGACTGTTTTCTCTCCATGTCCACTGTCACCTGTTCTGATTTCTCTGATTAGTCTGAATGCTTTCCTTTAATTGTCGCTTGATAATTAACTGCCATGATCCAGCACTGAAAACTATTTTAGAAACATGATGGCATTGTAATTAAAATTACTTTTTCAAGGTTAATGTGCCAAATAAAGTAGAATGCACTGAAGATTTTTAAGGTTCAGCAGTAAAATTTTGCTCCATTGTGATGATCTGTTTTTGTATTCACACATAATATCTTGAGAGAGAATTGTTACTTTCAAATTTTAACTTGACGGTATTCTAGCCATACGATTTTAAATGCCATTGTGTATCAGCTGGTACGTGTCATTGAAGGCAGAATAGTGTGTTTACTCATTGAGAATAGCATCTACTATATGGCCTTGTAACTGTTTTATGGTAATAAATGTTCATTTATTTTAACTCAGTGTTTTGCAACATTTGGTTTTGTGGTGTCTTTGGATAACTTACAGACTTGTAAATTTATTTTTTTTTCTCTTTTATAAAATACGCCTTTGAGTAACGCTATGTTTGGAGTATGTATGAATGTGTGTGAGAATTTATGGGTATGTGTGAATGTGTGTGTGCATATGTGTGAATATGTGTGTAAATGTGTATACTTGTGACTGTATCTGCATGTGAATGGAAGTGGATGCACGTGTGGGATTGTGACTGTGTGTGAATGCATGAGTGTGCATCTCAACAGAGCTGCAGGTCTGGAGTAACTGCTAAGCTTCTTTGCCTGCCAGGTGAGCCAGGATGGGAAGTCCCTCCTTGACAAGCTTCAGCGGCCCCTGACGCCCGGCAGCTCCGACTCCTTGACGGCCTCTGCCAACTATTCCAAGGCAGTACACCATGTCCTTGATGTCATCCATGAGGTGCTGCACCATCAGCGGCAGCTGGAGAACATCTGGCAGCACCGCAAGGTCCGGCTGCACCAGCGGCTGCAACTGTGTGTCTTCCAGCAGGATGTTCAGCAGGTCAGTGTGGTGTGCATCCTGTCCTGGGAACGATGTTCTGTTACCTAGTGCCACTCAGACAGGAAGGTATCACCAGGGGATGGCTTGAACAAATAGGAGTTTATTCTCTTACAGTTCGGGAGGGTAGAAGTCCGAGTTCAAAGTGCCAGGCTCTGGGGGCTCCAGCTCTGCCTCTTGCTGCTGGCCCACTGAAGCTAAAGGCATCTCTTCACTCAGGCAGTTACTGGCTGCTGAGGCTAACAAGCTCAAGGTCAACAAATAAAATGGCATAGTCCCGATGTTACCAAACCACACGGCAGGCCATTAATTCAAGTCCATTGAAAGTCGCAGGATCCCAGAGCATGGCAGGCTGTTGAATAATGAAATGACATGGCTACATGCAGGGTTCAAGTATGCCATAAGCTAGAGACCGTGCCCAAAGCTGTTTCTTATATACGGAAAGCAGACCACATACCCAAAGCAGCTACTCAGCTGCTCCCAGTAGATTCCACCGTGGAGTTGATTTCCAGTCTCATCATGGGGAATACTACATCCAGCTGCCCAGCTACTCATCCCGGCCCAGCCAAGTTGACAGACACACATAGCTAGCCGCCACAAATGACTTGCTCTTAATCGAGAGTTAGGTGAGCACCTCACCATTGGGTCCACAGTCCTGGTGCAGGTACTAGTCATTGTTCAAGACTGAGGAGGAACATTGTGGAATGCCATACTGGTTCTATGGTTGTCTTATCACAGTGAGCAAAAATGTCAGAGACAGTTGTGTTAGCCTCGGGCCTGTTGCTCCAGATCTTAATGCTTTTTGACAAAAAGGCAAAAATGACTTTTGAATGCTGAAGTTACAAATAGGGCTGTAATTAACTGTAGAGGTTAACCAGATGATAAGCTCTCTGACATCAGGCACTGTTACATTTATCTTAGTATCCATAGCCTCTGGGACGATGCAGTCCTTTCGGTGTTGGTGACCAATAAGTGACTGAATGAATGCAAACATACATTAGTAATGGCATGGTGTGCGCATGCATGTATGTGCACATGCATGTTCTAACAACACATGTACCAGTTCACTTAAGTGTGATATTTTGATTGCATTAATTCAGTGGACATTTATTGGCTAGCTCTGTGGCAGACAGTGCACTGGCCTCTTGAGGGGACTGGGGGATCCACACACAGTTTTCCTTATGTCCTCCTGGGATTACATACCTCTTGATATTGGTCTTATCCCCACATGTTGACTTTTCCTGGCGGGCAGTTGAAAGAATAAACAAGCGGGGTTAGAGGCCAGCCTTACAGGTAACCAGGAAGGATACCCATGGGTGGACAAGTGTTCTTACAAGTTACACATAGACTGTGACCTGTGCCTAGAAATTTGCATGGCTGCTTCCCAGGGCCTGATATGCTTATATGATGTCAGACAGTGGAATTACATGCATGGGTCCAGGTTGGGATATGGACCATACATGTTGGTGCTAAGTGAGTGCGGTTTTCTCATGATTAAAAAAAAAACATCATCTCTTGTATTTGGGTGGAAACTCTCCTCCCAGAACTGTAGGAAGCACTGGGAACTCTGGGTTCATTATGCCTGGAACCCGGCTGGGTGTACAGTGCAGGGTTTCTGAGGATTCTCTGGGGAAGAGGACGGGGCACGTAAGCCCCAGAGGTGGGCATTTACTCCCTTGGGTGGGAGGGTGCCTTCTCTTCTAGGACTGTGCTGTCCTGGCCTCTGTGACCCTCCACTGTCTCTGCTGAGGGAGCCCTTCAGTGAGAGGCTTGCTGACGGATTCACCTGCCCATCCACTCTACGCTTACTTACCGAGGTTCCAGTAGAGACGTATCCAGCCACGTAGTCAGGGCTGGGCTGTGGCCAGGGAAGACCCAGGCTCTTCCCCCTTGGAGCCCACACTTCAGTGAGGAAGGCCCCATTGGACAAGCTGTGACATGCCTAGTGCAGAGAGAGCCATGGCAGGCATGCGCCAGCATGACGAGGGGCATAGACGGAGGGAGGAAGGGTGGGTGTCTGTCCCTCCACAGCAGGCAGTAAGTATCCTGGAGGAGGTGAGTCTCAGCTGATTCAGGTGCGGAGGAAACAGCAAGGCAAGTTTTCTGGAAGAGGAAGCTGTGGAGCAGGAGCCCTGGGGCGTGAGAGCCCTCCGCCCACTGGGGCAACTACAGACTGTGTGTTTGGGAGAGCCGGGCTACCCGAAGGAAGAAAGAGAGGCTGTGAATGACAGTGGGTTTCACGTGTAGGCCCAGAGCAGGACTTCATCCTAAAGGCTGTGGTGAAGGCACTGAGGAATGTTGACACAGAAAGATCCTTTCCTGGGTTTGAGTGCTTTGGCAGATGGAGTTGGGAGGGGAAGATGGGGTATGTTGTGTTCGAGGCTTCTCTCGGTGGTCTCAGTTGAAAGGTGTCACGGGCACTTGGCTGTTCGGGTCTTTTGTTCACAAGCAGTCAGAGCTGGCATACAGGTGTGTCAGAAGAGTGTTAAAGTGAAGATCAGGGATGCTTTGATGCTGTTCAGGTGGATGGTATTCCCACTGACGTGAAGCCCTTGTGGACACCTGTGCTCAGAGTGAGGCGAGGAGAGATGGAAGTGAGGAGGGATACAGTAAACAAGTAAACAAATAAAGATGGGTGTGTCTGTCTCTCTTTGTGTCTTCCTTCCTATCAAGCGCATCTTCTCTCTCTACCGTGTGAGAAAACAGGGCTCATTGCATGAACCATCAGGTGTCTTGGCCATTAGCTCACCTGTGCTGAACACACAGGACTACATGGGTCCCGAGTAGAGATTCTGTGTGTTTTGTTCTTAAAACAGATCATCGCAGTTGCATTTCTCTGTGGGAATAGTGCTGGTGGTGCTCTCAGATGTGTGGTTCTGGTTTACAATTTGTCTGCCTTGTAGACACCTCCACAGCAAGCTCGTTGTGCTGCTTTTCCTGGGTAGAACTCCTGTGGTGCGCAGTGCGCACCTAGCAGTTGCCTAATCAACAGTAGGCCTTTCTGACTATACAGTTTCAAGCAGTAGTGTTACCGTTGTTGTTGTTGTTGTTGTTACACAAATGATCATTAGCCGGGTTCCCCACACTATGCATTTTCTTTACGGAGTAAACAAGATTGTTCTGCTACCAAGGTTTGAGGCTTGAAGTTGTGAGAGTGAACAAAATGCAGTATAACTTGAATAATAAATAATAGTTGTGCCCTTGCCCAAAAATACAGGCGCGAACGAGGGTGTTAGCTGTGGGGGGTGAGGAAATCTGAGGCAAAGAAGGAAGCCAGTAGCATCCTGGCAAGTTGGTGGAAAGCCGTAGTGATACACCTGGAACAAAACTGCCCTCTTCTCCCGGGGTGTCGAGGAGGATGTGCGCGCTGTTCAGACATGTAGGGCCTCAAGTTTCAATCTCCTCAAGCAATCATCTGAGGTGAGTGGGTTTTTGGCTGAATGGACTGACTGGAGAGTCTTCCTGTGTTCTCATGAATACACACGTTTTTCCTTTTGTTGGTGACTGTAGCTCTTCCTTCATGGAATCTGGTAAGTTTTAAATACTTCTAGCATAACTGTTCTATAATTCCTAGGTTTTACATATTGCACTTTGATTATCCTTATGTTTATTTTGAATTCTCTGAAGGATAAGTGTACCAGTGCTGCAGGAATGATCATTTGGTGCAGGGCTTTAGACTGGTTCAGTCGTGGATCAAGCAGCCAAATCAGAATACACAGGGGTTTGTGGAATGTGGTGTGCCGGAACGATAACTGCGACGGGAAAGATTCCAGGCTGTAGTCCTAGAATGGGAGACTCGGAAGAGGTGTGGTGGCCCTTGCAGGAGCCTGATGTATGTAGGAGATTGGGTTATAGCCAGGACAGCGTGGTGCAGTCAGCCGCCATCTTTGAGCCGGGACCGTTGTTTCCCACTCTGCTGTTCAAGTGATTTGGTTGCTGTGCTCTGCACACACTGCCCTTGATTTCTGAGGGGGAGCACGGTGTCAACCTGTAATTTTAGCTGTGGGGGGTGAGGACACCCATACACCCACATCTTGCAAGTCCGGGTCTGTTCTGATGTTGCTTCGTCAGCTGTGACTGAACCGGGAAGAACCAGTTTGAAGCCCCTGTTGGTGTTACATATGCTTCTTATCAATTTTGTTTTAGTAAAAGAAGATAATTGCCAGGGGAGAGCTAAGGGGCAAGGAGAGAAGAGTGTGGAGTCAGTGGCTGTGAGTTATCGTGAGAGCTGAAATTATAAGCCTGGGTATTAGTTTTTCTTAATTCTCCAGAAACCCTCACAGCACCATGAGGTGTTAATAGTTAAATGTTATGATTAAAGGCTTTCGCGCCCAGTTGTCCATGCTGTGGTTCCAGTACCTGTGGACTGATGAACTTTCTGGACTTGTGTGTGAGAGGGGCACTCATTTCCTCACTGAGGACCAGCAGCTTCTGGGACCCTCTTCTTTGCACTGGCAGGCTTGGGGGGCTCTTCAGGCAGCTGCTGGACTATTCAGGTTGGGGCGGGCACAGGGACAGGAAGTGCACAGGAACACACGGGGGAGCAGCATCTGATTCCGTGCCAGCACGTTAATGTGCTTGAATCTGAAAACAGCAAACGTGCATTTTTATGTGTGGAAAATGATTATGATAATTATGAGGCCAGCCCTTTAAGCTTGCTCCTTGTCAAGAGGAGGAAGTTGGGTTCGATGCCAGTGGGGAAGGTATTTTGCAGTATACATAATCATATGGTCCTATTACCATTCCATAAAAAATAGATACCTTCTCTCTAAGAGAAACGGTTCTCTTCATTAAGTGGTTGGGAATGGTTTGGACTTGCTATTATGCAGAGAGGAGATTGCAGTACAGGCTTGGCTTGTGAAGCAAGGAGCAGTGTTGATAAGACTAATCCAAGCAAATGCTTTCCCTAGAAGAAATCAGTGGGACATCAATGTGATGTTTTCCTGAAACTCAGGAAATGAGTAGCATGTAGGGAAGTTTGTCTATAGAGGAGGAAAGGTGCT